ACAAGGGCAGTCTCAAACTAAAGGTTTGCAAGTTGAAAACCAAATTACATAAACTGCACAGAAATAGGCAGAGTTTTCTGAGTTTTAGAGGTGTTCTGCTGTGGGCTTCCCTTATAGTCAGGACAAGAGTACAGCGGTAGGCTCTGCCCTCCCTGGGAGGCTAGACAACATATGGCACTGTCTCCCAGAGAACAACACACCACCCAAGCAGCCTGGCAGCCTTGTGTGTTTGTGTGTGTCTATGTATGTGTGACTGTGCAAGGGTGAATAAGGGAGCCTGTAGCATGTGCATGTTTGCAGAAGATGGAACGAGAAGGATGCCTGCCAAAATTTGTTGCATGGCAGAAGAAATAAAGTGCAGATGTATGCCTTTTTTTCCATAGCCACATAAGCTAAATAGGCATTAAACATGACAAACATTTGCAAGGCATTAGAAACAACCATCTCCTTATGTGAACTCAGACAATCTATTTTTGATCAAAGCTGCATCATGAACATATTTCAGAAAGCGACGGGAGATGGAAGAACTAAATATTTCACTTTGTATCTGTATGTAATATAGTGCAACAGTATGCAACCTTGGCATGCTTGTTTGAATGGGATGCTACAAACTTTTCGATGATCAGGGGCAGCGTATTGTTGAGAATGCAGGACAAAGTCAGTGAGCTGAATTAGATGGGGGGGGTGTAGGCGGAAGTCCTGATCGTCTGTCTAGCAGAATAGTTTCCATTTTCATGTGTGTGAGTTAAAAGGGAAAGAAGAGAATCAATAAGGCATTAGTGGAAAGCCATCAAAATATTCCGGAGCGATCTAAAGCTTATTACAGCCAGTAGGTCAGGAAGTTGGGTATCATTTATTTAAGGTGAGTTACCTTAAGACTACAGTTAAATCAACTTTATTACATCCATTTGACCACGCTGCCTGCCTCAGTTATTCAGAGAATGTGTAAATTACAATAGCAAGTTACAAGCATTTTCATATTACCTTTATTATTATAAATCGTCCCTGATGAATTTGGATGACATTTTATAAAAAATAAAGAGAGAGAGCCTCCCTGCAGAGAGAGATATCTGCTCTCTAAGTAGCTTGAATCCAAGATCCTGTGCCAACCCAAACAATGCAGACCCATAGCATATAGCCACTTCAAATCCTCTGGTGGAGACATTTCTGTCTAAGGCCATGATGAGAGGCTCATGTAAGCAGCTCATCAGCAGCCTGTTTGCCCATATGTGCCTCACACCCCACAGTCCCCAGTGGGTCCTGGCTCTGTGCAGTGATACCATCTCATCTGCCAACATAGACCATTTGGAAAAAAAACACAATCCCTCTTCTGGTCGGCCTATTCTGCCCTCACTGGCTAGTGATCTGCACAGATAGTATAGCCAGTAAATCCACCAAGTCAAATGCCTAAAAAGAGGCTGGCCAGTAGAAACAGAAAACTTTCAGACATACTCTTTTGAGAGGTTAAGCAAGGGATGAGTTGCAGAGTCACGATGACAACTGAAAATCAGTCATGGCCAATTAACAGGAATAAATCTTAACAAATTCACCTCATCCGATAATCAGATTTATAAAACAGACAGTAGCGGTGTTTTTTTTAAATCACTAAGGTGTGAGTCCTTGGGGCCAGTATTGATGATGGCATATGCTGTGGGAAGCAGACAGACAGGAAGGCAGGGTCCAGTGTCATATCTGCAGTGTGTATCTGCAGGTCCCGCGCGGCGACGGTTCGCTTATCCCCCTGCCACCGCACATATGTTTGGGAAACTGAACAGTTGGACGTGGCCGAGGGCTAAAATGGGTCAGACCGACACAGATGGAGAAAAAACTCCCACTGGGTCACTGTCAGATGACTAACACCCACAGAAAAAAGTGAGAGAATATGTGTGTGTGTGTGTGTTTATGTGTATGTGTGTAAGGGAGAGATGTAGTTAAATTTTGACAGACTTCAACAGCTTGCCAGCAACATTTCTCTTGAAACAAGGATAGAAAAAAATATAACAAGTTTTAAATTCAAATTGGGTCATGCAGTGCTCGAGTAGCCAAGAGCAAACCATGAACTCTGAAGAAAGCCAGGGGATGTCAAGAATTCCCAACATAAAATTCGTCTTTCTGCATTTTTAACTTCTCTTCCTTGACTTTACTTCATGTATAAACCAAACCAAAAGTGAAAACATGACTTGAGTCCCATGTCATGTTTTCACTTAATACTGTAATTGTGATCACAATAAACACACAATCAATTTATTTTTTTGCTATTAAACTTGAATAACATAAAAGCTGACATTTGGGATAAATTGAAAACTTTAGGTTTTTGCCCTGGGAACGTCAGGGCTTCTCTACAAGAAAAATCAATTAAGAGTGCAGGAGAACCCAAACACATCTCTGGGGATATGGAGAGGAGTTAGCATTAAATGCACCTCACTGATTAAATGGAATAATCCAGACCAGTAGATGGTATATTCCATGACAATGGATAGTGGCACTGAAATAATCAAGCATTAAACAATGCAACATTACATTCCACTCTCTATTATGTTAGACTTTTTAAAACAAGATGTAACCAATTGAATCTCTGTTAGAACGTCTCACAAAGATGCCATTGGAAATGTTCCCCCAGGTAATCTTCAGGCAAAGCTGTCCCCCTCTTTTTCAACAGTCAATGGTGTCACAGCTAAAATGTATTCAGAGCGCTTCAGGCAAATGTCCTTGGTTGTCAAAACCTCCATTAGAAATGGAATGTGAGGCAATAATTGCTCCCATCCATTTGTTCATTATAAAAGTGGGAGGGAAATTCCTTTCAGAGTAATCCATGGCTGCCTTTTGATTTGATCTTTCAACACCATTTCCCAACACAAAAAGATAGGCCAGTGCTGTCTGATGAAGTCCAAAACGCATTGCCTTTCTGAATGTTATGTTACTGCCACTTGTGTTTGTGTTCACTTTTTTTTATTTGAGGCTTTAAAAAACACTTTATGAAAGCCAAGAGCTTCCAGTTGTCTGTGCATTGTTTCTTCCTGGGCCTTTTTGAAAGCACTATGGTTTGACGTATACAACACGTAGAGAATATTCACAGAGCATCCTTCATCTTTCACCTCAAATGAACCCTGCCATCACATGAGGACATACAAGTCCCTTTGCGCAGAATACAAGCCATGTTGTCAACCATGCATTAGTATGTGGGTGGCATGTGCTCTGTGAGGCAGTCATATGTTTACAGTGAATCTCTTGGATGAAAGTCAAGTTTGCAGCTGCAGCCACGAAATAATTCATCGCTCGCCTTTTTACCCGGGAGGAGCCACAGGTAGTTGATGAAGTGGCAGTGCCAAGACTCCCAACTGGTGAAGACGAAGCGCAGCTGCCAGGAGTCAGCGCGGCCAGATGCCGCTGCTGATGTACCATGTGTTCCAAGCAGGGCAACAGTGTGTTTGTGTGTGAGCTGGGGTGGGAGGGGAGAGAAGGGAGCGCTTGCCAAGACATTCTCACATTGATGCCAACCTGACACATGCTTGGGTACTCCCCACGGTTTGTGTTACCATCTCAGCCTCTCTCACAGATCTGTGGGGGGTCCCCTCTTTCCCTTTTCCTCAGATGCAGTCTTTTGCCAAGATGGGAGTTGGCGCCTGCTTGCGGCCGTCCAGCCCATCAGTGGCGAGATCCTTTCAGGTGGTCTTCGCTGAATGGTGTGTTGGCAGCAGGCCATTGCAGCAGAATGCCAGCTTCTGCTAGATACTCTGTCTAATCATGTTGTCGCCATAACCGTAACTATAACGCCTCATGTCTTGTCCTCTCACCCCTGACAAACAGACTTATACATGATGCCCTTTATTTTCCTCCACTCTTTCTCCATCTCTCTATGTTTCCAGTAGCTGTAAATAAGACTCACAATGGCTCAGATTCCAGTCCCCATGTAACGCATGTCAAAAATATGGCCAACTTCCAGGAAGCAAATCCAAAAACATTGGTCATCTGTGCCTTATTTCGTTTCATCAGAGATGCATTCGGTCATTTTTCGGTTGAATCCTTAGAAAAAGCAGCAGTGCCATCTGCATAAAAAAAGACGAAAGACTGTTGAAATGCCCTACAAATGAAGGATTTTCTGGAAATTACATAGCTGCTGGGGTAGCATAGCATCCCATTGAATAGCGATTTCCCCACGAATGGGAACGAGTGGTCTTTGACGATACTATTCCTGAGAGTGGAGGGGAGTTCTCTGAAACAAAGGCTCCAATTTCGTTAGGAACATGCCATCCTTGTTTGCAGTGTAGGGGGTTTGGGGAGGGAAGTGAAAACTTTTTGAACGTGTGCCATGTCTGTACCATTCTCTTATCTGAGGCCCGCGACTGCCAGCTGGCGGCTGAATGTGCCCACTTGCACCGTGAAGATGAAGTCAGCCAAGCTAGTTGGCACACTGAGTGGTAGGACTGGCATGTGATCTAAAGCCAAACACAGCTCTGTGTGGGGTAGCTGCATATATGCTGCACTCTCCCTTCTCCCGTCCTCGCCTCTGGTGAACAGACTCTCCACTGGATCTGCAGATCTTCAAAAATGAGGGCGGATCTAGACAACCAGGCTGAGTTAAGAATCACAAAATGTCAGACAACAACACAAGTCATCTCCGTAGCTCTGTAATGAATGATACAATGATTTGAAACTAGCTGTCTGTGAGCCTGCAAGTACAAAGTACTACATTAGATCATTTGTAACATTCAAACTTAAACATATCAAGAGATAATGGTTGAAATTGATCTGAAAAGAGAAAATTAATTCAGTCTAGGAGCGATAAGCCTACAATTTATTAGTTCTCTGCAGATATTAAATCATAATCTCACAGTATATGCATTTAAATCATTTCATGTAGTGAAAGGTATTCAAAAGGGAAGTATAGAGCCACTTAAGTAATAAAACAATTTTATTGGACTATTAAAAACTCCTATTTTTGAAGTCTCAGTCGCCACACTAGAGCAGGGTTTGTAGTGTGTACTTACGAGGTAGGAACCATTCAAGCGACGTATGTTTCATGTCGGAAGACTAATTCCGTTGCACCGTCCTTCACTACAAGATATACCGGGCTTTTGGTTTAGGTAAGGTGAAAAGGAGATATGTAACGTTATAAAGCGGAACACGTGTATTTCTTAAGCAGCATTCATATATTATTCGCTGAAGAAAGGAGATTTATTTTGGATAAAGTCCGGTCGGTGTCCGTCTTCTGTCCGTCTTCTGTCCGTCAGTTCCCTTTTAGTTAGATAATGTCAAAAGTCAGTCATGGTCAGCATTAACACTACATGTTCCTTAATAGCGACAAAAACAAAAAATAAAACCCACGAGTCCGTGTTTTAACTTCGGTTATTGTTGAAATAAATATGTTTATTATGAAGCTAACAACTGGAGATGTTTGCTTGCTTTGTCAGTCCAAAAACTCCCAAGTTGTTGATAATAAAAAGGGGCACCAGTTTCACACATGAGCTGCAATTACATTATCACAGATGGTATTATGGTAATTGTCCGCCTGTGAGACAGTTGTATGGTGTCCTCTGTGGGTCTGAAGGGAGCTTTTCAAAGTCTGGAAGAGTAATCCTCTGGAGGTGTGATGTGTAATGATAAGTTATTAGAGTTATATTTTACTATAATAATAAATCTGCTTATTAAAAATCATCAGAGAAATGGTACATTCAAGCTGCGGGCAGTGAGTTTGTGTTAAGTAGTGCCATGCTACTTAAATGAAAGTGCAGGCGAAGTGATAGCAACTTGGTCGAACTGAATATTACAGAAGGAGGATAATAAGATTTAAATGGTATACCTTTAGAAGATGTCAAACTTTGTGTGCTGCTTGATAAAACTAAGCCCACATCCACTTTCTTCCCCCCAACAACTCACAGACATCACCTGATATGAGTGGATGCCACACACTGAGGATTGCCTTCTTGAGGTTCTAACTCTGGAGGGTCTGAAGTCTCAAACATGCTGTCAGGACTTGTTGCAGCTGCTGCCTGCCACTCTCTGAAGTGGACATTGCCTCGCTGCAAAGCCACTCTTCACAGAACTTATTGCTCATCAAAGCCAAGGCAATGGCTACTGGGAACGGTGGTTCAAAGACAGGCTCATAGATGGACTACAGCACAGTCATCGAGTATCAACCTGGGTCCTGTGTTTGCCAGAGCTCCAGCATTTGGAGATAGAATTGCTATCATAGATAGCAGTGGTAGCCACAGCTACAAGCAGCTGTACAGCAGCAGCTTAGGTCTTGCAGGTAGAATCACTACCGCTCTCAACTGCGACTTTGGGGGTCTGGAAGGCAAACGAATCTCCTTCCTGTGTGCTAATGATGCTTCCTATACAGTGGCACAGTGGGCGTCTTGGATGAGTGGTGGGACGGCCGTGCCACTCTACCGAAAACACCCTGAATCTGAACTGGAGTACATCATCTCTGACTCCCAGAGTTCACTGCTGGTGGCAGGGCATCCCTATGCTGAAACCCTCGAACCACTGGCGCAGAGACTCGGGCTGCCATGCCTGACGCTGCCCCCTACATCTGACCTGTGCACCTTAGCTGGGGCAGACTCCCAAGACAAGGAGACAGCCATTGCAGACTGGGCTGATCGACCAGCGATGATTATCTACACCAGTGGTACCACGGGGAGACCCAAGGGAGTTCTACATACGCACAGAAGCATCCAAGCCATGGTAAATGTTGTCTTTTAAACTATAATTACATTAGAGACAAAGCCAATTACATTTCAGTTTGAGGTTGATTCAAAGCTTTGATATAGCAGAGGAGGTTACAGCTGGTGCTAATAAGTAAGGTGCTACCAATAAGTAGGAACAGTATGTATCTTGGTCACAAAAAAAATATTATAAATTATCAACGTCAAAATGTGATGTGTTTATGGAAAAGATTAATGTCAGCTAAGGTACTGGATATTTGAAACTCGAAAATGCTGTATCCGTCGGCGTGTAATTGATGATATTGGTATTTAATATGATTGTGATTTGTGTTGGGACTGATTGGTATGTTTTTAGTCTACCCTCCGGTCTTTTATATAATTTCCTTACCCATCCGCTGTCTGTGTGTTCTGTCCAGATTCTCAAAATAGAAGAGATTTGTTTGCTACTGGAACGTGACTGTCCATAACACATTAGTCAGAATGGCACATCTTCAGAATATTTGGGGGAGGGGGCTTTAAACGCCTCTTTGTTGGTGTGTTCAGGCGCATAGAGGAAGCTCTGACATCAGAAATCAAATTTTTCTACATTTTCCATACAAGAAAATGTTATAGTGTCTTCTTCTTTTTGTCCATGTTTGTCCAGTGAGTTTGATGTTCTTTTGTTGACTGCTATTCTTTTTCAAAACGGTCCCTCGTCATTAGTACCTTTATAGAAATAAAAGGAAACCATTACAACTCAGGTACAGTGGTTAGACAGTTAATATCTAAACCTATTTGGAATATTTGGTAAATGACTACTGTCAGGTAAAGAATGCACACAGGTTTTGTTTTTGTTTGTTTGTCATGAAACACAGAGTAGTATTACATAGAATATATGCTTTTATGGGTTTAATTGACTTGGGCTTTCTTAAATAATTAATAGTCAACTTCAATATTCAAGTCAAGGTTATTTATATTGTTTATTTAAGTCTTTCTACAGGATATCATGCAGTGCAGGCAGAGATTATGAAGTGACTATCCGGAGCTCCACAAAACTAACACATATAGACACACAAAATGTATTCATGGTTTGAGTGTTTAGACACCCCCGTACTCCTATTTGACTCCCTGATTAGCATCATTCCTCTTTTGTTCCAGTCAAGCTTTCTGAATAATCACTAATTTATGCCATTAAAGATCTCCTGAAGATTTTCCTGTATATTTTCTAAGCGAAATTGACCTACATGTCCAATAGTGTGGAAAATTAAATCACCCTGAAAGACAGCAGAGCTTCATTTGTCTGTGGTTGGCTCAGGGAAGTGAGTGAGTGAGTGAATGATTAAGTGAGTCTGTCTGTTTTCCTGGAAGCCAACAACATCAAGTTGTCAGAATTCCTGGAAAGCTCCTCTGTCAGGTTAATGTGAATGAAGACCTGAGACCAGCTGGAAAGGAAAATAAATTTAAGCTTGGATTTAAGATGACCATCTGATCCCCATTTTGTATATCTTTGATAATGTGAATAAATACACTGAATGTTTTTTGCGTCATTCTGGCAATTGAAATGCCTGATCCAGCAGACACAGACAGTAAGGTTGCAATGTTGTTGTTTTCCTAGTGAATGGGACACTGAAAAGCTTGCATACTTATTTCCTAACCTAATCATTGAGGTGCACTTTACCTGTGGTGTGTTTTGTGCATTACTTAAAGATGCCAACATCATGAGCAGTGTCAGAGGGGTACCGAATGTCATCTGAGTGATCAGAAACTGCACTCCGCATTGACCTACATAGCCTAGTTGTTGGTGTTGTGATTTAAATTACTGGCTCTTAGAACCAAACATTAACGAGAGGTCTGATCTCTGCATGTGTGTGTTTTTGCAAGTGTGTCAGCAATTTCTAGCTGTGATCTGTTCACTTATTTTGCATTTTCATTCAGAAACATGTGGTGGAAGTTTCACTGTTAATAAACAAGGCAAGATTATACTTTATTGTCTGATACAGGGAACTGGACACAATAACCAGAACACCTGGGTAACTCAGTAGAACAAATAATCTTTTATTTATCTAAAATTTATAATTTTTTTCTATATTATAAATTTATCTTTTCGTTAACCAAAATTAAACAATATAAGCTTCATGAAGGTAGTGGGTCTTACAAATGACATTATATTTTCGGTGTTCTTCTATAACTGGACATTCACAGCCAAAAACATAAAATAGTTTAAACAGGCACAATTCCCCTGTATACTGTTGAAGTGTTTTCAGGAGCACAAGGTTGAAGTTCAATTCCCATGCCCTCCATAATCACCTAATCTAATCAGTGGAGTTTTTCCTTGTTTGAATCAAGAGACTAAGGACAGGGGTGTCGTGCAAGATGAATCTGTGATTTTAAGCTATACAGATCAAATTGACTTGACTAGAAGAAAAAGATGTTATTAATTCCTGAAATAACTGGAGGTTTAATTTCTGTGAGAAATCCACAATTTAGAATTCAGGATTGCATAATAACTGGCTTCTTAAATGGGATAAATCAACATTGAATAAGATGCTATTATCAAACAGTTTTTGGTGATGCATGCTGTATTCTGAGCCGATTGTATCTGTTTCATAATAGTTATAATGATAGCAGCAATCTACTTTTCAAAACATTAAGGATTAACATCAGATTCTAGTGTTCTTTTTTTATACTAAATGTTATTAATACTAGTTTGCACATCGCACAGGGAGAAATTAATTGTTGAAGAGACATATACAGATTTCTCCCCCAACAGGATCCTCAGTAGACCAGTTACATTATAATAACTTTGAGTTATTATTTTGCTCTCCGACTGCAACCAAATTCAGTGTTCACAGGGGGCAGATGTCATTCTTCCAAAAGCAGAAAGTTGCTAATTGAGGTGTGAATACGGCAAGTTGGCAGGAAGCCAAAAGCACTAAAAAAAACAAGTAAACTGCATCACGACACCACAAAATATTGTAAATAGTGTGCAACAGTAAAAGCTGATTGAGGTGGTTTATTGTAAAGACAGTATGATGTGCTGACCTCCTCTCTTTCCTCCCCTGTCTCCCCCCTCACCCCGTAGATCCAGTGTCTGGTTTCAGAGTGGGCGTGGTCCAGAGATGACGTCATCCTCCACACCTTGCCGCTCCACCACGTGCATGGCATCATTAACAAGCTGCTGTGCCCGCTCTGGGTGGGCGCCACCTGCATCATGCTTCCTGACTTCGACCCTCAGAAGGTCTGGACTGCACTCTGTCTCTTTCTTGTTCGAATGCTTTATCTTGGTACAGTATACCTTACATTAACTCCACTGAACAAAAGAGGCAGCCTTACAGCTCAGGAGGTGACTATGAGAACGAAGCTGTCATTGACATGTAGCCTAAGAAGTATGTAGTTTTTAGAAATCCTGTATGGACAAGACCCTCAACTCTTTCCACATAAATCCCTCTTTCTTTATTAGTGCTTCCTTTTGCCCTTCCACGTTTCTTCTCCTTCCTTTCTCCTCGCTTCATCTCCTCTCCCTCTCTCCTATCAGTCTCTCCTCCTCCTCCTCCCCCTCCTTCTCTGACTGTCAAACTAAGTGTTTGGGGCTCAGTGATGAATTGCCCTGTGTGGCTTTGTATCTGACCAATGCCGACTCACGGCTGGGGCTTAAGCAGCGGATCAATCGATGAGCTGACATTGAAGGATGATAGTGCTTGTTTGGCCCTAGGAAGGGAGGGGAAGATGGGGTGCTAAGTGTGTGTGTGTGTGTGTGTGTGTGTGTGTGTGTGTGTGTGTGTGTGTGTGTGTGTGTGTGTGTGTGTGTGTGTGTGTGTGGCTTTGGAACATTTAGGAGTGTAAATGCTTGTGTTTTCCAATGTGTGTTTCTGTCTGTATGTCAGGACCTCCACAACTCACTGGCAGTGACGGTAGATGGAAAGGAAAGGTCTTTAAAGGACATATGTATCTGTCAACATGGGTATTGCTACTCTGTTATGGATATCAGTATTCTGCTGTTATCCCTGACCTTGTGCACCAAACCGCAAAACCCCTCCTCTCACCCTTAAAAATAAGCCTTTATTCTCCTCCTCCTGAAGTTACAGTACATTGATGAAGTGATCGATAGTCTGTCTCTTCTATCCCCTAAGATCTCTGAAGGGGAGCCTAGGCAGCAGAGGCCGCCATTGATTTTTTCTGATTTCGCCTGGAGATAGTGACAAAAATTTTCAGTGTAGGAATAGTGATCCAGTAAATTGCAGATAAGTCTATTTCGAGTGTGCTGTTGCTTACTGATGGGGGCAGATACTCTTCCTCGGGTTCACACAGTACTTAAACATTTTTTGTGTTTTTTGAATTCTCATGGACTACTTCATCACAGCACATTCATAATTGTATTAATATGAGGAAATTATTTATTAACACATTAAAAACATTTTTGAGATATTGATTCAGGAGCCAGGGTAATAAATCACTTCAGTCATTTCATTGTGTTCTATTAGCTAAAGGCATTTTATTAAGTAGCCTGATTGATGGAGGTTCCACAGATGCATACAGTAGTTTGATCAGTCTGTCCACCACTTTGGTCCAGACAGAAATATCTCAGCAACTATTAACATTTCCATGGAATTTTGTACAGATATTTATGGTCCCCAGAGGATGAGGCATGCTGACTTTGGTGATCACCCCCACCTTTCCTCTAGTGCCACCAGCAGGTCAATATTTTAATTTATCTTGTGAAATATCTTAACATCTCATAAAATATATGCAGATATTTTTGCTCCCCAGATTTTTCCTTTACCGCCATCATGAGGAGTTTTTGAGTGAAATATCCCAACAATTATTATTGAATTATTGGAAGGATTGTCATGACAATTAGATGCAGACGTTCATGTTTCCCTCAGAATTAATTGTAATCGCCCTTGACTTTTCATATAGCACCATCATCAATTATTTGGTTTATGACTAAATACTAGCAAAATTAATGACAATCCCACTTTCTAAATGAAGATGGTGAAAGTGGTAAATATTACACTTGCTAAACATCAGCATATTAGCGTTATGAGCTTTTTAGTATGCTTACGTTCATTTAGTTCAAAGCAACGCTGTGCCAAAGTGCAGCATCACAGCACCTCTAGCATGGCTGTAGACTCTTATTTTGATAGTAGTGCCTATTGACCATACCGTACATACCATACCGTTTCAGTACCAAGACCAAAACTACACTTTGTTTGATACCGTTCCTTTAGTGATGTTTTCAGTATTAGTATTTTTTAACACTGTACAAAAACTTTCCTAAATAAAACACTCTAAATCTGACCAAGCATCAGTGGCAACTTTTGATACCAGGGCGTTTTCGATACTCAGCACTATGGACACATTGATGTTCAACATCCAGTCCTCTTCAGGAAGAATTGGCAATATTGTGTTGAAGTCCCATGTCGAATGCAGGGCTGAGCAGCTCATTGAGTTGTTTAGGATGCAGGCCATGGCTCTGGGTTCTCACCACATCCTGTCCCCTAGGTGGAGGCCAGCTCTTTGACGGACATAAATTGCCTTCCTCTCTCCTCCAGACTGGATTTGGTGGAAGCGCTCCACTGCGCTTGATAGACAACACCCAGAACGGTCAGGGCACACTCGGTTAATAATCCGTCTCTCTGCACAAAGTTTCATTCTATACAGGTGAACTGTGAACACCCACAGTTTTTCAACTTGTAATTATATTGTGAGAAACGGGACAGGGATCTGATCAGACTGTTGACAAAGGTGAATCACCTCAGCACTATTTTTCTATATATTTCAGTTATGTTTGTTTATTAAAGGCAGGGGAGGTGAGAGGCAGGGAAGTTAGTAGATAATAGATTAGTTGAGTCTATGACAAGGTGACTCGAAGGAGAAGTGGAAGGAAGAGTTTAGAATTTGTTGGGACATTAAGAATGATGTGGTGGTACTACAGGTTAGAGATGATGGGAAAGACTGCATCTTTCTATGTGTGAGTATGCGTCTAGGTGTATGTCAGAGAGAGAGAGAGACTGCAGAGGCAGCGAAGCAGGAAATTACGAAATGGAGAGAAGGTAAGTGAATGTGAGATAGGGAGTGAAAAGGGAGAGGGGAGAAAGAAAGATGAAGGGAAAAATGTGGGGTCAGAGATGAAAGTAGAGAATGAAAAAGAAGCACTTTGGGAATGGAGGTAGAATGAAAGAAGAAGAAGAAGAAGGAGGATAAGTAGACTGAGCGGAAAAGGGGAGGGGAGACAGCTGGGGAGGAGCGTTTGTCTCCCAAGGGGGAGACGAGACCTAGAGAAGCTGTCGTTCACCTTCACTTAATTCATGCTGTCGTCCCATCCTCCCATCGTCTACTGCGATGTACCCAGACTCTGTGTGTGTGTGTGTGTGTGTGTGTGTGTGTGTGTGTGTGTGTGTGTGTGTGTGTGTGTGAGGGATGAGGTATGAGGTGGAGTGGGAGGGGCGGGGTATGTAAAATGGCTTTGTCCTTGAACAAGTGAGTTTATGTGATATTTAAACAGTATTTTTATATGTGCATTTCGTTCACGATGTATGTTTATGTCCATTAACGCCTGTGTTTGTGTTTTAAAGCGGCATTCTTTAATGCTTGATCCAGCAGAGGACATGAGTGGCTCCTTCTGTAACAGTCAAAAAGCACATTTGTCAAAAGTATCCGTACAGAAGGCCTTTTAACTGGCCAGAGTGCCAGCTCTGCCCTACAGCAGTCTGCTGTTTTCCTCCCCCTGACCTTTAAATTCTTGACGTTTTTTCTTGTCTTTTTTTGGCGTTGTGTTGACAGGTTTAATGTAAGGCTGCTGTCCAGACCTTAGTCTGCCATTTACATCAAATAAAAGAAAAAATGTCACATGCACTTGCACTAATGGAATGAATCTACACTACTTTCCTTTTCGCCTTTCCTTATCTCCCTCTCCCTTCTACCCTCTTCAGTTATATGTTGTGCTTATCTCTCTTCTCTCTTTCTCTCTGTTTCTGTGTCCCAGGTGTGGGAGAGGCTGCTGAGTTCCAAGGCTCCCCTGGTTAACGTGTTCATGGCCGTGCCAACTATCTACTCTAAGCTGATCCAGTACTGTGATCAACACTTGTCACAGCCTCATGTCCTGAACTTTGTCAAAGCGGCCTGCAAAGAGAGGATCAGGTAGTGGCTGTTGGATCAGTGACAGAGAACTTACTCATGGCTCTATGTATCTGTGGGTGTGGGTGGGTGTACAGACTGGTGACATATTAAAGGAAAATAAAAGGGGAAACATAACAAAGTTACTTCCTTTCATGGCATAAAGTGTGATTGAATGTTTTAATGAGTGTGATTAAACACCTTTGGGAAATTTGGGGCCAAATTGTCTGACAGATCTCTCCACCACCATCATTAAAACACTGAATAAAGGAATATATTTGGGAATAATGGTGTTCATCCCTCTAGCAGCAATGAAGCTGGTCCACATGCTCGTTTTGCCAACACCTTACAAGGACATTGTCAGGGCAATGTTGGTTTCTCCTTTTGATTTGACATCTAACTGTACGTGTGCATACATATCAGAATAAGAATTAACTATTTTAGTTTTTAGGGGGCATCGGTGTTTTTTGTAGTATCTGCAGTTTTCTAATTTGTTTGCTATGTGGTGCCAATATGTTCTGCTACTTCAAGGTTTTTCATTAAAATGTGCAGAAATGTTCTAGCTGGAACACTGTGGACCAAATCCTCTACTCATTGACTCACACAAATCACCCACAACACATATATTTGGAGCCTGGAGTGTCTCGCTCATGTACGTCCCTCTCCCTCCAGGCTGATGGTTTCGGGCTCGGCTGCTCTCCCTCTTCCCACTCTGCAGCGCTGGCATGAGATAACAGGACACACACTGCTGGAACGCTATGGCATGACCGAGATTGGCATGGCACTGTCCAACCGTCTCGAGGGCCCATACATCCCAGGTATGTAAGTTTGTCTGACTGGATACTCTTATACACCCACCCACAGACACACTTTACTTTAACACAGTATGCAGAAACACTATAGAGGGACAAAGTAAGATAAAATCTAACCAAGGTCACACTGAGACCAGCTATTGTTATGTGTTTCAGAGTTATTTATTCTAACTCTGGTGGATAACAGTAATGTCATGCGACTTCAGGTCTCAAAACACTAACAGCTGAAAGTGAAGGTCTTGGTCCTTTTCCAAGCAAACTGTGGTGAGGTTACAAGCCAACTGCTGGATCAACGGCAGGAAATTAAGCTAGAAGAAACCGTTTTTAGGGACAGGTTTGACATATAATCAGCAGTTACAGTACTCAAGCTGGGGTGATATTTCCACATGTGCTCTTAACTGTTATAAAGGTCAAGTACAGTAAAGAATGCAGATGTAGTGCAAGTCCATTACAGTCACCCTCTCTGATGGATGAATGCAGCCTATGTGAATGTGGATTCAAATTGCTAGTCTAAAATTTGTTATCAAAGGCTTTCAGCAAAAGAAATAACCTCCATGTTACCTCTTTTGTCTGTTGTTGCTGTGTAATAATTAAGCCCTACATGTAGCTGGCATTAGTTTTCAGTTAGCTTATGGTTCCCAATCAACAAACTTACAATCAGTGATTTCTTCCACTACAATCACATTAAATATATATATATTTTATTATTTATTTTTCAGGGGTTTTAAACAGAGCTTGAGGCTTTCATGGAGATTAATTAAAATGAAAATGACTTAATCGAGCAGAGGATTTGGGATTTTTGCTTTTCCGTTCTTTTCCTAAGTTGAAGTGTATTGTGGAGCAGCTGATAATAGCACATCCCATTAAGTGTGGTTTTGCTGATTTGTTGGTGAAATCTGCAAGGCAAAATCTGGGGCAAAATTTGATTAAAAGCTTCTAGACATCTAGATCTTAGACATAACATAATTCAACATAATTTTGATGACTGTATTTCAATATGTAGCATATTCTTAAAAGACTGACATATTTCTCAGCAGAAGGTGAACAGAATTAACCACTTTTGTACACAAAGCACATAAAGTGCACTCTTTTACCTCCACTACAACATTATTGCCCACGTTTACAAATGAGATTCCACTGCAGTAATAACAGCTTGTTAAATTCAACTTTTCTGGATTAAACCTAAACTGTCGGTGCGAACACACACTCGGTAACTTTCCTATTCTTTATCACATATCTCGCAAATATCCCTGTTGTTGTTCTACCTCCCTCACCAGTTTGATTCAGTACTTCGGCTTCACATATTGTGTTTTGATCATAGACACTTTTCTCTGGTGTGATGTCAGATAAAACCCCATGATCCCAACTACACCACCCTCACACATCCAGAGACAAAGGCAAGGTCTAGAAATGAGGTCAGACTAGTGGTGGTTGCTTTCTTCTCCTGTCCTCCCCCCTTCCTCTATCTCCCCACCTTCTCCTTCCTGTTCCCTAGCCAACTCTTCCTCTTTACAGGTAACGCTAATTAGCTTGCAAGTGGATTGAGTAATCCTTGAGTCTGGCTGTTTTGTCGGGGTATTGTTTTGTTTGTTTGTCAGGTAATGTTAGGCATAAACTGAGCAGGCTGTGTTTGATTCCTCTCAAGTGATTATTAAGAATGGCTTCAATAGGTCTGTGGTTCTATTGATGTTTCCGTTGCAGCACAGTGTGTGCGTGTGCGCGTGTGCGTGTGTGTGTGTGCGTGTGTGTGTGTGTGTGTGTGTGTGTGTGTGTGTGTGTGTGTGTGTGTGTGTGTGTGTGTGTGTGTGTGTGTCTGTACGGAGGCATGAGCTTTTGCCTGTTTGAGTCAGTGTGTTCCTGTCTTGTCTTTAAGTAGGTTAAAATGGATCAATAGGAACCATAGGAAACACTCTCAGAAGAGTAGTGGAGTCACCCCCTCTCTTTCTCTCTTGCACACACTCACTTTCTTTTCTTTCTATCCTCCACCAACTAAGCAGAAGACAGCTCAGCTCTTAATACACTTATTGACAGCAATTTTATTAATAATTTGCTACTCTATTCAGGGCATCTAATTGGCCTGATTTTGTTGTGTAGCTTACAGTTTTGGAGCATTCCAGATTAACAGCAGTGTGGCTTTCTAGGTCATATTGCCCTTGTTGAGATGTAAATATGTGAGATTAGTTCAACCTAGTTCTTTCCATCTTATTATTATCTTACTCTGCTGCCCGTTTCATCTTTTTTATTCTTCTTCCTCCTACTTTTTAGCTTCTTTTTTGTGTTTTTGCTGACCTAGAGAACAGAGACAGCGTCCCACCTTCCCGCAATTAGTCTTCCTCCTGATGTCATTTGAAGCCCAAAACTATATAGTCTTTCATGAACTTCTTGCAGGAATCACTGTAAAACAGTCCTGTCTAGACCTTTGTCATTCCCTCTCCTCTCCACACAGACCTTTTCCCACCCAGCACTTATTACCTGCCTGTACTCTTCAAAATGGCACTCAATCTTGTTGAATCATCGAAACCAGAATGCCACCAGTCTCCAAGATTTCTAAAGCTCCTGACGTGAGAGGAAAAAAATTGATGATAGAAGAGGGCGTTAAAGGGAAGAGAGATTCCCTGAATTGGATTTTGGAGACATTGTCCTCGAGGGAGAGGAGTCTGTTTTTGTCATTTTGTAGATGGCATTTTTTTGCTTGACAGGGTGAAGAACTGAAGGAAGATTACTGGTTCTACACCTCTTCACCCTGATCGGTGGAAGGAGGACAAGAGGTTGACCTCTTTGGTTTGGGTGTGTAATCTCTTATCTACCAGGTTTGTTCTAAAGGATAATTCCCTTTTTTAGACCTTAAGTATATTTTTTTCTAGGATTCTAATCCCTAATCACCATGTTGATTCTGAGATCTGGGAATGTGGCGACTTCTGTAATGGTCACACTCAAACATGATGTGTAAAGCTGGCCTGTCACAGAGGCGGGCGGGCGGGCGGAGGCACGATATAGTTGAAATATGGAGATAACAGTGGCCATTTTCAGACAGTCTCTGACATTCATAGTGTTGCACTTGGTTGTTCACAGGAAAAGTGACAGACCTCTGCACAGCTGGCCAATCACAGCGCAAAGTGGGTGTGAATGTCAGGTTGTCGGTTTCAGAACGTTACAGAAATGGTCGTAAGTGTCTGAAAAGTGTGTGTGTGTGTGTGTGTGTGTGTGTGTGTGTGTGTGTGTGTGTGTGTGTGTGTGTGTGTGTGTGTGTGTGTGTGTGTGTGTGTGTGTGTGTGTGTGTGTGTGTGTGTGTGTGTGGAGGCGCTAGTTGACCATAGTACAAGCACTTATCCCTGCTAGAGTGTCCATGAGCAAGACATTGAATGTCCTCCAGCTGTAGCTGATCCTGATCCAGTATACTGCGACTCCAATGAAAATAAGACACCAGAGTCACATTGTGCTTTAGGTCTCAAATATCCTTTTTCACACTACCCACAGCAGCTCATAATGCTGTGATCATTATAACATGGCTAGATTCGTCTAACCTCCTGACTTGAGTTAGTTTGTTATCCTGCTTGTCGACTGACAAACACTTTTGCGGTCAGTTGGTTTTCCCTGCTGGACTGAGTGCAAGTGATGGAGGGTGTGTGATAGACATTGCCAATCAGGACTGGAGTGGATTAGATCAATATGAAGTGAGAGAATCACTCTTTAATCAGGACCTGACCTGCTCTTTATTGGGAGAGCAGTGGTCTGTGAAATGGCATAATAGCCTTTGGGCGGGCACACGCACATGCACGCACACGCACAGAAAAGGCCACTGAGACCTTCTCCGTGCATCCCCTGTGCACTCTTTGCTATAATTACTTAACTCTGGAGGTCACACTTGCACACACACAAAGACTGCAGGTGATGTAAGTACGTGTGGGAATTTTCTATTTGTAACACATTTTCTTACACCTTTCTTATTAATTGTTTCACTTAAACATCACTGCAGTTATGAACAATCCGAGAAGGAATTTCTGACAGTTCTTATTGTATTTCATAATTTTTTTCAGCTCACTTACAACATTTTATGCCACTGTGCTGTAATTAAAATCCTTGTCAAGCAGTCAGCAGTAGTTAGGACTGAAGGACTGAATTCTAGTGTAGTACTTTGGGGGATTTTTTCTCAGGAACAATGGAAAACTGTTGCAAAAATAGAGACTGTTATTACAGTGGATCATTGTCGATATGCATGGGGTATTATTATTTTTGTATGGAAGGAATTTTGTGTTGACTTATTGCCACGGATGCTGCAGTTCAGGTCATTTTGAGAAGACTCTGTCAGTACATCAGTGTCCTGGAGTGTATTCTGGGCCTGGTATCTGTTCTTAAGAGTCTAAGACAAATGTCCAAAAAACAGTTCTCTTATTTACTTGATGTTGGAGAAAAAAGCTGCATCAGGCATTGCCCCAGAAATCCCCATTACTGTCCAAGTAAGCTGACTGGTGACTGAGATGAATGGCTTTCAGTTTAGTGTTTTACAAGCTCAGCAAACCATTTAGTGACCAGTTAATGCCATCTTGGAAGAGAGCAACCCCCACTGTGGTAGAAATCCTGCACTAAAGGTTGATGCCCATATACGTGTTCAACTTCTTTAAAAGGGACAAAAATCTTTCAATCCTGCTTCCAATCGACTATATTCCCTTTGAACTCTGTACCTGTGTGTTTTGAGTGTGTTTCTGCTTGATTTGTTGACAGGCGCTGTGGGGTTGCCCCTTCCTGCTGTGCAAGTTCGGGTTGTCATGAATGACACGAACATCACACTTGCGGAGGGCAATCACAGAGACACTCAGGTAATCAATGAATTAATCATTTATAAGCCCATTTTTCTACATAGTGGATGAAAAATCACAGAAATCAGTCAAGAAGTAGTTTAACTGATTTTGAATGTTAAACCCCAAAACTCTACTATATAAACCATGATACAGATAATGACTGCATATTTCCATAAATAAATATAACAGATGGGCTATTCTCATTTTTTATTTTAACTCTTCATAGATCTGCATGCAAGTTAGATTGTTGTCTTGCTGCTGTTGGCTAGTACATCCCTCAGCATGAAGTGGGCATGAAGTGCATAGTCATTTATGCATTATTCTCTGTGTGAATATATATCACAGGTACTTCCAGGTATGGGGGGGAAAGAAGGGGAGCTCCAAGTTCGAGGGCCGTCTGTCTTTAAGGAGTACTGGAACAAACCTCAAGAGACCAGAGAGTCTTTCACTGATGACGGCTGGTTCAAAACAGGTACCAAATCCTCCTTGTCCTCCTCCTCCCTTTTCTCTTAACCCACACTTCAGCACTGTACATGCACACACACATTCCCTCAGAGGGAGTGAATTCTGCCACTAATTGCATCTACATGAGTTGTACTTTCAGAGGGATTCAGTTTTTTCATCTCTGCTGCAGACTGCACTTTCAGAGCTTGATTTTAAACACTTAAAAACCAGGAGTCCAGTCCAGGAAACACACACACACACACACACACACACACACACACACACACACACACACACACTCACACTCACACTCACACTCTCAAACTGAGTATGTGTGTACTGTATGTGTGTATGCACTTTTTGGGGGACTATGAGGGAGTGATAAATGGACTATGTGTGTTTTTGGTGCTGCAGGGCATTTTTCCTCCTAAGTGGTTGTGACTGCTCTGGGTCTTGAGAAACCAAGTATTGCTGTCTCGCTCTTCCTCTCCCTCTCTCTGTTTCTTTAGTGTGTGTGTGTGTGTGTGGCAGTACACGGGGAAGCTGTCATCAGAGGTTCTCTCTCCCTGCAGCCCTGCAATTCTCTTTCTGCCCCCCCCACCCACCAAGGAGCACTGCTTTACTGCAAAGCCACCGGGAGACAGGCGTTAGGGGGAAGTGTGGTGAGGCTGGGGGGTTCAGCAGGGAGGGCAGAAGCAATTGGAGCTTTTAATTGTCATGTAGACAACAGCAGATAAGAGCCAGAAGCAAAAGAGTGAGGAAAGAGCTGGAAGTATTGAGCTTTGAGATGTGGTGGTGGACGGGTTAGAAAGAGTCAGCTACAAAGGGTGGCATGTAAGGCTGGGATGGGGAGGTGGTGGTGGTGGAGGGGGAGGGGGAGGGGGGGGGGTGAGGGTGAGGGTGAGGGTGAGGGTGGGTGCGTGAAAAGAAGCAAGGATGGAGCGAGTGATGGAGAGCGAAGCAGGGCAAGGCAGTGGGAGAGCAGGGCAGAGTGTGTTTAATTGGCTTTGCAGGCTGGAAGGACAGAGATCCAGAGCACAGCACGCTGCTGTCACACTCCATTACAGCCACTGGCCACATAATGAGAGCCCGCGCAATCAGCTCCCCACAGACTGGTCCCTCAAGCCACACACACACACACACACACACACACACACACACACACTGTAGACAGGAAGCTTAACACACTCCTTGCCCACCCACCTGCTTGATGCCAACTTAAACACACACATACACACACACACACACACACACACACACACACACACACACACACACACACACACAGAGTTGTGAAGTGGGTGGAGTTTTGTTTTTTTACCAGAAGAACCAGAAGTTCTGTTTATTTTTTGCTCCGACAATGTTAGCTCAACTCTTAGGAGTGAATCATCGGGTCAAACGATGAGCATTCTGATATCCAGTTCTTTGATTTAAAACTAAAAACTTTATATAGAGAAACTACACCGATTTCTACACATCAAAGTCTGTTTACAGGTCTTGGGGGATACTACTATATATGTGAAGAAAAGCATCCAGAGGGAACTGCACAAAATCTGATAAATTGCCTAAGGCGATGTCACATGGGTCTTGGGTTGGTTGGGGCTGAAGATTTGAAGTTTAAAAATAAAAAAATATTTTTTTAGCTTTGGACCAGAACAGGCAAGCTGTTTTCACCTATTTTCAATCTTATTGCTTAGCTAAGCTAATTGACTGCTGGCTCTAGCTTCATAGCATACATATTTGAGTGGTATCAATCTTCTCAACTCTCAGCAAGGAAGCAAATGAGCACAGTTCCAAAAAATGTCAAATTCGATTTTATCACTTTTCTTTTATATTCCCAGTCAATAAAAGATTAATTTGGCAACTGTGGTGCAGTGTCCTGTTCACAGTTCTAATGATAAAGTGTTTCCTACAGCTTTGATTCATGTATCATGACTGGCTTCTTCTCCATAGCAGTGGTGTCTGAGGCTCACAGGTATTGTTGTTTTTAGAGCCATTTGTCATTGTGTCGTACCATAGAAACACAGAAAAAGAGTTTTAATCATTTAAACTGATAAAAAATATATACACATAATGAGACACATACAGCTGATTCATAGATAGGCACATGCTCACGTGGACAGTAAACTCCCACAGAAGTTACTCTTGTCCACACAACATTCTGCCATGTCCACACAAACCTTCTTGGTGTGGCTATCTGGGGCAGGGGTGGGGGGTGTTGTTAGATGGAGACTGTCTGCACTTAACCCTCTCCTTAGCGTCCTACCTCTCCTCTCACACTCTTACCCTTTTTACCCTCACACCTGCTCCCTGTTTCACACTCCACCTTTCTTTCTGACACTCTGTCTCATCCTCACACTCCATCTCTGACTTGCTAACTCTTGTCTGATCTCTTGTCACTTTTCCACAGAGCTTTCTGTATCTCACTTTTTATACTTCCTCCAGGATTTGACCTTCAGGTCAGGGAGGAAAAGTGAAAGGTGTTCAGCACTAGACTTCTTTTCAGGGATCTGACTGAGGTGTACTTTTTTCTAACTTCCAACAGTCAAAATTGATGCGTTAACTTTTACAATGAATAGCAAATGTTTGACTTAATAAGATAATGCAGCAAAATATGCACAACATCTCATACATCCACTAACCTGACCACAGTGAAGTGTTTAAGGGACTTTCCTGCCCTGAATTGTGCCTCCTAAGCACCATCTACTCCCAAGCTCCCACGCTTCTCAGTCGGCCAGTTGTTGTAAAGGAGGCAGGATTTCTATGCAGTCTGAGAGACATTTCTCTGAGACATGGGGGATGAGAAAAAAATGATCTGGTGGCTCTTTAAAAATACTCTACACAAACTTACAGCAGAAGTAATGTACAGTGTTTGTCAGGTTAATATATTTTATTTAAACGATTGTTAAAAATGGGGTTGTTGATCAATACCAAAGCTTTGAAATTACACACACTGCAGTTTGTCACCTCCAGAAATGCGTGAGTTTAAAATTGTGTTTAGATCAAGGAAGGGAAGAAAAGACAAAGACATTTGTATGTATTGTGTTGGATTAGTGGTTAGAAAGTGGTTATCATTACAGTTGTAAAAACGTAAACGTATTGTTTCTGTCAGTTACAGCCTTCCTTCAGCTAACACTTGTAATTAGAAGTCAAAAGACGTACGTTAAAATGTTGTTCTCTATCATTGTAATTATGCATGACACAACCTTACCGATGGCTTCACCTTTTAAAACCAAGCAAATTCACATAGAAACAGAAGGATGGAAATGTACTTACTGTTGCAGAAAGTCATGTTCCTGCCTTTTTACCAAAAAGTGTGTTTTATTAGATCAGCCAGCAGAACTGCATTTGGCTGAAATGAAATCCATTGCAGTTGAAAAGGTCTTAAAAACCTTTGCGGTGAGTGGCTGACACAATGTGGAAGATGAAAATCTGAGAAAATAAGGAAAATAAAGCTAAGAGGGGAGACTGACAGGCCAATAGGAAGAGGAGGCAAAGGCGAGATGATGAAAGAAAAGTAGAGGGTAAGAAGTGGAGAAAGGAGTGTGAGAGTTTGGATCAATAAGTTCTCAGCTGGCGAGAGGTGTCTTCTCTAGTGCGAGCGGGTGCTGTGTAGCATGACTGGCAGCTCTATAGGGAAGCTGTCACCTTCTCCTGAGTGCTCTCTCTTTCCACTCATCTTCACAAATATCTCTGAGCAAATTGATCCCCTCTCACCTTTTTTAACCCTCTTTTTGTGCGTGTTCTACACTCCGACTGCTGTCCAGAGCTACAGTACGAGTTCAGCTCAAGTTGACAAGGACTGCAAGGGCTTTCGTTGTTGGATTACATGTGCAGATAAATAAATACAAGCAACAAAATATAGCCAGTCGGGGGGGGCAGCCTAAGTGAGAAAAGAGCAACAACAACAACGACTAAAAGTGATGCAGTATATTTGGGTGTAGTTGGTGCCTATCAACCAAGAGAGCACATTCCTCATGGAATGGATTATGATGTTTGGAAATAAACCATAAATAAATGTATGAATACATAAATTAGTAAGGACTTGTGGGAAGAGAGGGAAGCTTGAGCATTAGCAATTTTTCATATTTTGCATTTCAGCGATGAATAATGGAGGCTTGGTTGTAGCAGGCAGTGTAGAGGAAGCTGTGTTTGGGGGCTAACTATTTACCCTGCCTTATCTGATGATTTTTTATTTATTTAATTAACTTGCACAGACTTTGAATCAGGGGCAGAAAAGTTAACAAAGGGGTTAAATCTGTGTCATTTTACCTCAGTTTCACACTTAATTATGCGGGACAACTACATCCTGTAAGAGCCAGAATTAGCAGTAAATGTGGAAAGTTGAAATTGTTTTGTATAGACTAAATCTAAACCTAAATTTCACAATGTATTTTAGAACGCACGTGCCAGACTTATATTATAAGCAATATTGTATGATGCTGCAGAGGCAGTGTGTGTGTGTGTGTGTGTGTGTGTGTGTGTGTGTGTGTGTGTGTGTGTGTGTGTGTGTGTGTGTGCGCGCGTGTGCGTGTGTGCGCTATCTTGTTAAAGCATGTGTGTGTCATCTGCTTGTGTGTGACTGAGAGAGATGTAACCCCAGCTGTAAAGGTGAGCTTCAGGTCTGCAGGGTAAATTCTCTCCACAGACAGACAGAAGTGTAGCTCATATCCTGCAGAGCCATCACTAGTCATTTGTGCATCTCTCTTTTGCTCCCAGCTGCGTGCTCTCCTCTTCCCTGCCTTCATCCCTCTCTGTGTTTCCCAATGTCATATTTCACCTCAAGTCACATTGTGTCCTCCTAACTCCAATGTCAGAGCTCCCTGCGGGATCCACCACCAACACCCCACCCTCCCAGCACTTTGTTTCAAACCAGCCATCCCTGTAACATTTACAGCCAAGGTGTCAACGCACGGTGGTGCTGGTTTTATTAACACCAGTTGCAGGAAAATGCAGTTGAACACTGCATCATGTGAGCCACTAAACTGCAGGATTTTTGGCAAACCGTTGAAGCAGCTGCCACTTTGT